GTATAGCCGGCCGGCTATACTTTAAAATATTCTTTTTTTGGGCATAGCCGTGCGGTTATACGTTAAGGTATTATATTTCAAGAGTATAGCCGACCGGCTGTACTTAAAATATGCTAAATATAATATTTTAGAGTATAGCCGGACGGCTATACTGTTACAATATTATATTTAAGGAGTATAGCCGTGCGGCTATACTATTTAAAGGTATACCCGTTGAATATATTATGTTTTAATTACTTTTATTTATTTAGTGAAGAATTAGTATTTAAATATTTGAATTAATTTCATAAATTTACTTAAAAATTAATTAATTATATTTAATGATCTTAAAGAATTTTGTGGAATGTAAAATTATTTTAAAAATAGTTTCAATTATTTAAAAATTCTGGAAAATTATTTTATTATTCAAAAAATGGAATTTTAGTCTCCAAACCAAAATTCCAAGTCTCAAAACAAAAACCATAGCTTTTGTACATATCCGAACTTGTTCCAAAACTGTTCACAAGCCTCGAACCCAGGGCTTTACGATTTAGGTTTTGCTCTCAATCTTGGGCTCTGGGAAGATTTAATTAAGACACCCAAACGAAAATGGATAATTTATTTTTTCGTTTTTGCACAGTAGAATTATATCAATAACATATTTAAATATTCACTAAAGAAATAATAATTAATACGTAATTACTAATTAAAGTGATTCAAAAAGACTAAGATATTGCTTAATCACATATATTAAATTAAAGAAGTTGGCCAAAAGCAAAAGTGAAGAAACTAATTTTATATTTTTAAAATTCAAAAAAAAAAAAAAAAAAAACCTCTCCCGACTAAATTTCGTCGGCAGAGGTGATATTCGTCGGGAGAAGTCTAATCTGACAACATTTGCCACCTATGCCGACGAGAAGTTCAAATTGGAATCACATAAATAATGTAAACAGGAATTTATTTTTTATGTTTAGGTTCTAAATGCACCATAGAATCATATAACATCTCAAGTCTCATGAAACAAAATTGGAACAAAATTAAAAATTAAAAAATTGATGGAAATAGGTTTCTAAATGAACCATATTAAATCTTGCTGAGAAATTAATCTACGTAGACCCTTATAGAGAAAGGCATTTGCATTGAAGTAAGCAGTTAAGGTGACATCTATGATTGCAACATCAGCTTCAACTCGGAAATCATGCATGGTTGCCTATACAAGTTGTTTTGTCCTCCAGACATGGGAGAATTTCTCATGAAATAGAACTTTGCAGCTAAAGGAATGATTTGTGGGACAAAAAGAGAAAATCATTTGCACATAAGATATTATAAATGCAATATATATGCCAATTACCATAAGAATATCTCAATCATGTTGGAAGATGCTACTCCTGGAAATTAGGAATTAGGCTCGAAAAACAGGTTAACTGATCCTTAGTTGATATACATACCCTCTAGCTATCTAATATGCCTTCAACTTATAGTCCTATTTATGTATCATTGTAAATTGTGCATATGTACAAAACTTATTCGTTTTTTAATAAATGAGAAACACAACTTATGTGCAAGCCAAAACAAAGTATCTCGTTGGTGCGTGATCTGTAAATTCCTATGTAAATTCATACTGGTGACAATTGGCAGTTAGGTGCCATGCGTAAGTCATTCCAGCTCGAGGTTGTGGGTATGTCCTGGCGCTGGTGGTGAGAGTAGCCAATCTCCCCCTAAACTTTTTTCCATCAAAAAAATAAAAACCATTACAGAACAACTCGAATACCAAATGAACAAAACAGAAGCATTCCATCAGAAAGATCTAAATTACAGCAGCTTACCTATTTGAATAGATGACAGAGAAAGAAAACTCCCTAAACTCCAAGGATACAGAGTCCAATATAAGAAGCTCGAAAAATGAACCCTCTTCCACTACTGATCCACACTACCTCTCACTTCATATCATCAAAGACCCTCCTATGCCTATTACACCAAACAGTCCAGTAAATTGTCAATGCATCATATCTCCCAAAACCATAGCCCACTTCTTTCCTCTAAAAAATTTAACCTTCACAAACAACAATGCATTACACGAAGCAGGGTTAATCCAGCTCAATCTTACCTCCTTAACCCGCCGCAACCATATAGATAAAGCTGCTAGGCAATGAAGCAGCAGACGGACCAGGCAGATAGGGAAAATAAATTCCTCCATTGTTGAAGAACAATAGGATGAATGAACACTTTTGAAAAACTGTATCAAATAAGATGGCTCCCATCCTTACTTTTTATTCCGTATGACTGACTCCTTTTGACAGTACAAAAACAAAAAGAGAATAATTAATTACATAATAGAGTCATAAAGGCCCCAGTTGATGCTGCTATTAATCTAAAGAGTCATATAAAATCTACCAATATGCTCTGGATGTAGTAAGGACACTCCGTACCTGTATGTAGGAATGTGTCAATTGAATATTCGAGGTGAACGTTTCCATTTCTCCACGTCGTGACTACTGTTTTTGTAGAAAAACAAAAGGCTATATACAATGGTAAAGCCTCATTTGGAAACGACACACAAAGAAGCCTTGCACATGAAAAGCTCTCGAAGAGAAGGCATGTTGTCCTGAAAACAGAACACTAATTATTCAGCATTTTCAACTTAAATAGGATATAGGTTATGATTAGCTGAACAACACTTTACAGAGAAATAAAGTAAATAGAACAACACTTCACAGAGAAAAATAATAATGGGAATCAGATTGAGTTTTTGTGTTAAGCACAAACTGTTTTTCTCGAAAATTATTATGATCAGAAAATTATTAGGCAAGAAATGAAGAACATAATTCTGGGAAGCAGCATTAAATCAAAATCAATGGCAAATCCTGTTCCAGAAAGACTTGGTTATTCTCTGATATCTAAATAAGAAATACAATTTGGGCCAACTCAACAAATGTGGGGACATAAAAAATAGTTTAAAATGTGTATTTTGGTTTACTTTAACATTTAATTTGGGTTTTTTGAAAAGAAAAATAATGTATTTTGGGTGTTGGATTCAATTAGAAGAAAACCAGTTAAAGCAGTTATTCTCATACCTTTTCTCCAGGCCAGAACAGTTGGATATTCTCAGAAACGAAAGAAATGGCGGGAAACCCTCTTCTGGCAGGAATTGGATACTGTCACACTCCCTAATGTATAGCTCTTGAGAAGTGAGGTGTCCCAAGTCCCTTTCCGTCCAAAGATTTCAGACTTGAAAGTCCCCAGATGCGGAGAGTGTGAAGAGTGGAAAGGAGCAGCTGTTCCTTGAGCAACGTCTCCAAGAAATCGTCACTTCCCCTGCCACCAATTGTAAAGTGTTCAAGGGAGACAAGGCCTTGCAAACCCCAGTACTCTCCCACTGAAGCCCTCAGTCTGTCACGATTATGAATGCTGAAATATCGGAGGTTAGGAGGCAAACGGCCTTCTGCAAATGACACTAGATTTGGAAGTTCAGTCATCTCCAGTGCTGTGAGGGTGTGAATGCGTTGGGAAAAAGACACCAGTTCTGGACAGTCATTGATAGATAAGGTACTGAGGTGACTGAGATTCTCATCAACTCCTTCAATGGAAAGGGATTCCAGATTCTCACACTCCCAAATGATAAGAACCGAGAGTTTGGGGAAAAGGCTCAACGGGAACGACCTCATTGAGTCACAGCTATTTTGTACACACAAAACTCGAGCGATGTCAACTTGAACAACATCTAGTGAGGTGGGAATTCTAATCTCCTACAATGGTATGTCACTTTTGGACACAACGCAATAATGTCATAAGGTTCTGAGAAATTGTCGGTGAACTTCAAATTGTGTGGGTGAAACCTGCAAATAAGCTCATGTAAAGAAACCTTGCAAATAAAAAGAGCTCTCATAAGCTTCTGAGAAATTGTCGGTGAACTTCAGACATACAAGCTAAAAGTGACAGTGATTAGAGGTCCCCAACATTGATACCTGCCCATAAAACAAGACAGAATCAAAGAATGGCATGGCCAACCGTTATCCCAAGTGATTAGAGGTCCCCAACTTTAAATTGTCGGTAAGTGACAACCGTTATTCCAATTGCTAATGGCAAATTTAAGACACCTCCAGAAATTAAAGGCAAAGGAAAGATCATGCACAGAGCTTTACCTTCATGTGTTTTCTGATACATTATGTGTTCAGGTTCAGCATCCAATTGTGAAATCCTGTTTCTTCTCACCGCTATTCAATGTGGATGTTAACCAAAGTGCTTTCCGTTTCCATACCTCAGCTCAGCAAGATACTTCTAAATGCAAAGAAAAAGAAATTAGAAGGTGTTGCAATCATCAGGAAATCTAAAAAGAAAATATTATCGCGAAAATTCTTCGAGAAGAAATCATGTGGAATACTTTCAATATATGTACGCATGCATTTACTGGATTCTTAAATTTGAAAACACCTCTGAAAGTCAAAAGAGCACCAAATAAACAACAATAAAGGAATGTGTCAATCCAGATACTCCAGATGAAACTTTCCATCTCCCCTCGTTGTGACAATTGCTTTTGTAGAAAAACAAAAGTCTATGAACAATGGTAAACCCTACCCTGGAAATGACACGTAAAGGAACCTTGCAAATGAAAAGCTTTCCAAGAGAAGGTGCTGTCCTGCAAAAAGAGTATTAATTATTCAGCATTTGAGACTTACTATAGGAACTGAAGATTCGATTATTGACAGAGTATGCCTACGGTGTGGTTATAAGCCAAAAATGAATATGAATTATAAAATAATAAAAAAGTGCTGAACAACAGAAAGCATTCGATGAAAATGGATGCAAAATTGATGGCAAATTTGGGGCAATTCAACAAATTTGTGGTCATAAAAATAGTTGAATTAAAAATGTGAATTCCGGTTTATTTGGACAGTGAATTTCAGTTTTTTTATTGAACTAGAATAAAAGCACTTCAAGCGGTTATTTGAAGTAGATACCTGACCTAAGCAATAGAATACTTTGTTTGTCGTCTCTATGTGAAAGAGAGAGAGAGGGTCATATCATAATATGATGACTTCATCGTTTATCTGGATGCATGGAATGTGAGATATGCTGGCCCAATGATCTTGTCCCGTCTTATTCTGATACCTTTTCTCCAGGGCAGAACAATTGGAGATGCTCAGATAAGAAAAAGATGGTGGCAGACCCTCTTCTGGCAGGAATTGGAGACTCGGACAGTCATAAATATATAGCCCTTGAAGAGAAGTGAGGTGTTGAAGTGTCTCTCCTGGCAGGAATTGGAGATTGTCACACCTACTAATTTCTAGACTTCGAAGAAAAGTAAGGTGTGCAAGTCCCTTTCCATCCAAAGATTTCAGAGTTGAAAGTTCCTCGATCCAGAGAGTGCGAAGAGTGGTAGGGAGCAGCTGTTGCTTGAGCAACGTCTCCAAGATTTCATCACTTCCCATGCCACGAATTGCAAAACGTTCAAGGGAGACAAGTGCTTGCAAACCCCAGTTACAGTAGTCTCCCACTGATGAAGATGCAGCCCTCAGTCTCTCACAATTCTCAATGCTAAAATCTCGGAGGTTGGGAGGCAAACCCCCATCTTCTGCAATTGACTCCAGATTTGGAAGATTCCTTATCCACAAACTTTCAAGGGCTGTGAGAGTGTGAATGCGTTCAGGTAATGACTTCAACTTCTCACACTCATCAACTTGCAGCGAAGTCAGGTTGGGAGTGGGCAATCCTCCCTGGGGAAAACACACCAGATTTGGACAAACATAGAAATTCAGTTTATTTAGATGACTGAGAACCGCTCCTTCTTTAATCAAGCAAAGCGATTCCAGATTGTCACAATAACCAATTTCAAGTGTCGTCAATTTGGGAAAAATGCCCAAGGGGAACGACCTCATTGAATCACAGCTATTATGTATCAACAAATAGTCAAGTGATGTTAATTTGGCCAACATCTCTAGAGGTAGGAATTCCAATATCCTACAATCAACTATTAAAAGTGATGTCACCGAAGTGGGTAGGCCATCTTCAGGGAACGACGACAGCGTTGGACAATTCCAGAGAGTCAATCTTTGAAGACGATTGATGTTGGGCAAGCACTGTATGTCATCAAAATTTTGAATGTAAAGTTTGGACAGGAGCTTTGTCTCTAGTAATGATAACAGACCTGTTTGGCATCCATCTTTTATTTTCAATTCTTCAAGAGAATTGTAGTTGAGACTAGTACTACTACTAGTAGTAGGAGTGCTCCTTTGATCATGCAAAACCCTACACCTGTCCACGCTAAGCTTCTTCAAGCAAGGCAGATCACAAGGTAAGCTTCCTCTCAGCTTCAGACACTTTTCTATAATCAGCTCCTGGAGACGAGGAAAGTCTGGACCTCCATTTCCACTTGGTACCCATTCCTCCCACTCTGCCATCTCCTTAAACTCTAGCTTCTCCAGTGATTGAAATGGCTGAATTAGAGACGCTCCATTTCTGCCGTAGAACTCAACACCAATTGTCTTAACAAAGTTCATCCTTTCTATATAGAGCTCTTTGAGAGCAGGTAGCCCCCCAACTGGTGGCAGCGACCAACAATATTTACAATCGATAAGGCGCATGACTTGTATGTTAGAGAAGCATGAGTCTCCTAACCAATTCGGGAAGTTGGTTCCACTGTAGAATTGGATGGTCAGTTTCTCCAAACTAATTGAAGGCTGGAGCTTGTCAAGTACATCTCTCACTTTTTCGGAATCATCTGAGTCTTCATCGCCCCATTCGAACTTTAACTCCTTTAGATCCTTCTTATTCTTCAAATTGGCCTGCACTGCATCCTTAGCATCAACTACATTTTGCAGTTTTAGAATTGAAAGTTTTCCTCGAAGATGTGGAAGCTGCCCCAATTCCCCAATGGTCGACCCAGTAGATTTCCCCACAACAAAAGCAGTCAACGTTCTCAAACTTTTTAGTCTACCCATTTGCATTGGCATCTCTGCAATTTTAGTTCCACTCACATCAAGATGATGCAAACTATTTAATTCCCACAGGTCTACAGGCAATTTAGCAAGAGACGCACAACCTCCCAGCATTAATTTCTGTAAATTTATCAATTTTCTCAAGTCTGCAGGTAATTCAGCGAGAGATGAACAATTTGACAATAGTAATGTCTGCAAATTGTACAAACTGCAAAGTACACCAGGTAAGCTTTCAATTGCAGTACCAGAGAGATCCAAATAGCGCAAGTGAATAAGATTTTTAATAGAATTAGGTAACTCAATGACATTCCTGTAATGTGACAATGATAACACCCGTAAACATCTTAGATGGGGCAACAAATCTTGTACAAACTTTTTACTTAGATACACTTGATAAGTATTTAAAGAGGTAGGCAAGAAGGTCCGCAAACATTTAGCCCCCTTTAATGGCTCAAATTTCGGAGCAACATCAAAACGTCCCCTAGCATATGACAAATAGCGAACTCTTTCTACTTCATGAGATTCCCTTCCTTCCCACCTAGAACAAAATCCTTTAGACATGAACACAGCCAAGTCATTTATGAGATCATGCATAATGAAACTTGATTTCCCCGACGTTTGAAACAATGATCGGGATAACAATTCATTAAAATATTCCTTAGCCACTTCTTCCATGTTGTCCCCATTCTCCGCTTGGGAAATTAAACCTTCTGCCATCCAAAGAAAAACAACATCTTCTACCTTGAATTCATAGTCCTTTGGCAAAATTGAGCAATAAATAAAGCATCGTTTTAACTTAGCTGGAAGATAATGGTAACTCAATCCTAGAGCGGGAAGAATGTCACTTTTCTCATAAGGTAACTCCCAAATGCTGCTGTTTAGTACTCTGTTCCATACCTCAGAGTCTAGCTTGGAACGTAACATACCGCCAAGTGTTTGTGCAGCTAAAGGCAACCCATTGCACTTGCGTGCAATTTTCTTGCCGATTTCTTCCAAGCTTGGATATGCACTACAGCTTACATTTCCAAACGCATGTCTTGCAAGTAATGACCAACAATCTTCATGCGACAATGGTTCCAAGGGTTGAGTAGGAACATTTTGCATGAAAGATGCTACATTTTTGTTCCGTGTCGTTATGATGACTTTACTTCCCCTTGCCCCTGAAGTAAAAGGAGTTTGGAGGCAATTCCAATCAGTATATTTCACATTCCAAAGGTCATCCAATACAAACAAAAATTTATTCCCCCTAAGTTGTTCTCTTAGCTCAACTTGAAGCAAATTGAGATCTGCCGTATTACAAGGTTTTGAAGTGACTGACTCAAGAAGATTTTTAGTTACCCTGATAGCATCATAGTCTTCTGAAACACAAGCCCAAGCTTTAAGTGTAAAATTTTCTTTCACCTTATCATCATTGTAAAGCATTCGAGCAAGGGTTGTCTTGCCAACCCCACCCATTCCAACAATGGTGATGACGGACACATCATCCTTGCTTGCATCATCAGAGAACAACACTTTTGATAAATTTTCTTTGACTTCATCTCTACCATATACACAAGGTTCATGAACCAAGGAAGTTGTCGGAGTTCTTTGTGAAAACTTCCTCACAACATCTTCTCTCAGACAAAGAGCACCTTTCAGTTGTACAAAGTCTTCTAGTTTTCGTAACAACTCTTGAATCTTAACATTCATGCTTTGATAAAACTTATTACGAGAGGTAGGGAGGAAGTTCCACACCTTGTTGGTTAATTTGTCAGCTGTTTGAGCTTCACCTTCCAGCTTACATCGCAAAGCTTCATAGTTGATCTCATCCAGCAAGTCCTCAGCATCAAAGACTGCATGTTTGAGGTCGTCAAGCCACTCTCTCACAGCTGGTTTCTCAATTTGCTTCTCCTCTGCATCATCCAGCACTGCGTTCAAGGTCAACAGGGTCCTCTTCAGTTTCATGAGGAGAGGTTGATCGAGTTTCTTGTGCCGAAATAAGTCGATGAACTCAGGTGAAGCAATTCTGCCACAAATCACCTGGATGGAAGCAGAAATGAAGGCCTCTCCGATCAAAGCTCCAGCCATTTTCTCTTCTTTTCTTTGCAAGGGAATTGGATGAAAGTAACTTGGAAATACAGGGAAGGCAGTATGAAAGCTATTTATGTATTTATCTAAGTTCCGTTGGCCGGCTGTGAGTGAGTGAGTGAGTTTGTTAGCCTAAGTGATCATAATTAACTTAAAATTAGCCTGTAATATTAACTTTTTAAAAATCTCTCACTTTCAAGGACTATTCTCGTGGGGAGACAAAGTTTCCAAACTAATAAATCCTCAAAGTCAACAATGTGGGCCTATGTATGGCCCAAGCTCTTCATTATCCTGGCGGAGAAAGTGACCTCTAGTACGACAAGATGTGTCTCACTTTTTCCCAACCTAGAATTCTTATTTTACTTGAAAACACGTTAGCCAACTTGCACGCATATTTTGGGGTCATTCCACTTTCTAAAAAATTCTGCAAAAATATGATAAACGTAGGTTGATCTCTAAGCATTTCAAACATATATCACACGCCACTAGAAAAAATCAGAAAAATCTTCAAATCTTCAATATTCCACGCCAGTGCAGTTCTGACAGGATTCCAACTTAGGTTGACTTGACTTGCAAGTCTGGAGCATTTGGCTTAGTAGAAAATTATGAAACTTTGACACAATGATCTTCAATGTCTTAGCTTTCTTCTCCAATTGGCCTTGCACTAACATTCGAAAATTCGATTTTCAATCAAAACCCTTCCAGGAGCGCAAAATAACTGAAAATAAGGAAAGTAAAGTAATAATGCTATTTTTAATTAACTTTCTCTACAAAAACCAAATATGAGAGGTATACAAATATAGAAAATAATGCGTTTACCAGCTACCTCAAACCTATCTTTTGCTAGTCCTCGGGCAAAATTAGAAACAAAGACAAAAACGAAATGAAAACTAACTAAACCACTTTCACAGGTAAACTCGATGGCACTTAGCAGGTGCCACAAACTGTTAAACCTCTAGGTGTCCCTAGTAGGAGGAGTTGCGTCTCCTGAGGGTTTACCAGTTACGACACCCACAAACGTTTTACTACAAAATAAAGATGTTAAATACACCACTTTAAACAAGTTAATAAAAACCAATGCAAGCCAATCACATTTGCATCACTAAAGTTATACCACTTTGAGTAAATTGCATCATGGCGTAAGTGTAGTACCAAAACCCATAAAATCAAAGCTTAAAAACAACCACACTCGAACACCATGGAATTATTTCCCTTTGACTCTAATCCTCACTGGATATCACTCTATAATTTTCTCTCGGAATCCTAAGCTTATACTCAAATGTCACCTATATGTGTACGAAGTTATGTAATGAGCATCAAATATTAACATATGTTTAGCTTGAAGAACGGAAATTTTTGAAAATAATGTCTCATGAAAAGAATTGACTACTAAGAACTAGAGTACATACCTCAACTCCAAGCAAGATTTCCCAAAAGATCAGTTAGGTCTTTTACTTTGGTTGTAATGAAAAGCTAGGCTTGGGGTAAGAAGGAAAGGAAAGAAATAACTAAAAGTTAGGACATCCCAAAGCATTATTCACATTAACAGCCAGCTTCTTTTGAACATTTTGTAGTACTGATTAGCATCCAAGAATTATGCATCTTCCACTACAACAAAAGTGTCATTTTATGACACATAATTAATGACACATCAAAAATACACATCATTAAATGTCATTATCTATTAAATGTTTTTAAAATGCGTCATCGAAATGAGTTTATGACACCATTATCACGACACTCACTAGACGCGTCATTAAAATTGTTTTCAATGACGCGGGATGTGTGTCGTTGATTCTATTGCATTTAGATGACGTCTATCACACGTCGTTAAGATATTTTTTTATCTCCTGCTTGTTGTGAATTTAACGACGTTGTCTACAAGTCATGAAACACCTATACGATGATGCATGACCTGTGTCATAGATGTACCCCAAAAAATTTCTTAATTTAACGATGTCCTCAACACGTCATAAAACAGTTATATGACGACGTAGGATCTGCGCCACAGATGTACCCCCAAATTTTTTCTTAATTTAATGACGTCATCTACACGTCATGAAACACTGATACAACGACAAAGGAGCTGCGTCAAGATATACCTTTTTTTTTTAAAATTTAACGACATCCTCTACACGTCATGAAATACTTATACGCGTCATAGAATTATTTTTCAACGGCGTTTCCCACGAGTCATAGATCTACCAAAATTTCCCCCCTTTTTTTTTCTTTGCGCCACTTTTTTTTACCTCTTTTAATTAAGTTTATTTTTTCACAGGTAGAAATACTTTCAATAACCTTAACATGACGCGTCTTTTGCACCATAAAATATTTAGCACTTTGATGATGTAGCATATGTGTCATAGATATGTAATTTTGTCCCCCAAAAATTTTTGTGGGCCGCCCTTTTTTAACCAAATTTAAGTTTGGTGCGTCTTTTTTTTGGGGTCAAATTCTCTCTCCCTTAGAGTAGTTCCAGCAACTCGGGCTAGGGAGGGGTCGGGCTGGGGGTGTGAGGGCCCAAAAACGGTCCCTAGGAGGAGGTGGGGGCCCGCGCGCACTACAGTTCCACCAACGGCTAGCAGCCACGTGGCGTCGTTTGGGCTCTCTGATTGGAATTTTTCCTCCAATCCAACGATAGCCAATTTTTGTGCAATAAAATAATGAAAAAAATTCGACATTTTTTTAAAAAAAATACCCAAAAATTAATGTATTTTTTTTGTAAAGAGCAACCAATACTCTTCACTTTTAACACCAAATCCTCATATATTTTCTTCTCCAATATTATAAATTTTATAATAAATATTGATACGTACGAACCCAAAAATCTAATATGAAAATATTATCCAAATTAATTGTTTATGTAAAAAAATTGTGAAAAAAAAAAAAGAATTGTCTTTGCCCTTTGCTATGGCAACGGATGAAAACACACATTACTTTTTACAAGGGCAGCCACTATTCACGTGAATAATGGCTGCCCAGCTTCCTCCGCCCCTCTCGCCATGGCAAAGGGCAAATCGGTGGAAAGTGCTCTTACAAACTCCAATCTCTAATTCGTTCTTTAATCCCAAATGCTCTCTCGGATCTCTTCTTTCTCAGACTTTGCAAATTTCTCTCTCTCTCTCTCTCTCTCTCTCATCAAATCCCATCGAAACCCTCCCTCTCTTTCTCTGGCTTCTTCTCTGTCTCCCTCTCTCACAATCTTCTCTCTCACTGGAAGACAATTGCTCGAGGCCAATTGCTTCGAAGGTGAAGGCTGAGTGACAGTTCCCAAGGTGCGATTTTGTAAAGCCCTAACCTCCATGCTTGATACAAAGTTTTGGTATCAGTTTAGGATTTATTTGAATTCTAGATGTCTGTAGCTTGCTTTTATTGTGGATTATATGTGAATTTTTGTTTTTATTTGGATTCTATATGTATGTGATTTTATTTGATTGAATCCAAGATCCTACTTGCATTTCTGACTTTATTAGATTGAATTTGGGTTCTAGTTGTGCGTTAGTATTTAGAATTTTTTTTATTTTTTTATTTTTAGAGAGTAATTACGATTTTGTGAAAATTTCTCTTCCTGGTTATTATTTGGTATTATCAGTAGCTTAAGAATACAACACTTCAAACTTAATTTTCTTCGGTGGGCACTTCAATCATCTTTTTGTATTGGGTGGACATGTGTGCTGGAATTTTAGTTCTTGCTTGAAATTTTAATTTGATATCTTATTCCCTAACATTTTATTCTTTGATGCAGCTCTTAATAAAGATGAGTTACTTCAAATGGTGAGGTTTGGTGCTGAAATGGTGTTGCTCATATGCTTGCACAATTGTCTAAGGCCTTTGAGATAAATGTTATGGCTTAATATATATGTTTGCACCAAAGCAAGTGGAACTTTCAAGAGAGTGTTTTTGATTGATTATATCTTTTAGTAGCTTTGATTGCATCTCTTTTTGCACCATGTAGAGTTTAATTAGCTTTGGTTACGTTTCAGAAATGTGTCAAATATCCCTTTTCAGTTTCTGTTTTCATATCATCATCATCCCTGTTTTTCAATTAGCCTCGAATCATTCAACTGCATCTCTCCTAACACAGACTTACTGCTTTTGTTATCTTTTGGCTTGGATAGTCAGATACCTATGAATGTTTTGTGGATCTGACATATATATTACTGATGCAGCTATGGTTCGAAGGCATCTCCAATTGAGTTATGATCTACATTATTTTACTTTCACAATTACTTTCTATTTCTTATTGTTTCCATTTTATCTGAAACATTATACGCTTTAACCCTTGACTCTTATGCCTTACTTACTTGCACCTCTAACTTTCTGATGAAGTAAATTGCTACTTTTATCTATCTAATAATCTTATATTGGCTTGATATATACTCTATCTTAACAAGTTGTTCACTTTAGCAATGGACAAAGAATGGGCTGAATTTGAAATATTGTTGCTTTGGAAATGTTAGGAAGTTCAAAAGTTTGTAAGGGAGGCTGCTGAAATTGTGATCTTAGTCATAGATGAGGAAGATGTCGAATCTCTTATATCTGAGCTTGTTATAGCTGTCAATGATAGTCAAGTATTTCATGTTCTGTTATTGACTTCAAGCGTATAATATTGTATTTCATGTTTTGTTCACCAAAAGAACTTAAGCCATTGCTTCCACTATTTCTATCAGAGCTGTTGAACTTGGTATTAATCTTCCTATTGCAGATATTGTCATTCTTTATGATAGTGATAGGTGTTGAGGCCCAAAAAATCCACGATTCAGCCCAAATAAATTCTTGGCTCAATGCGATACCTTACCGAGAAGAAACCCGATTTGGGCACGCGAAAGTTCATCATATGCGCTTGCACACTGTTGAGGCCCAAAAAAGTCACAGGAAGCCCAAAGACATTTAAGGCCCAAAATAACATATAATGTCGGTCATGCATTAATTCAAGTTGTATTTTGGGATTTAATTCATTAAATAAATATAGAAATAGCGTACATGCCATGCCGATCACCTATCAAGCGCACATGAACCCAAGTCATGTGGTTTACGGGGCTTGCATGAGGGATTGTGGTGTGGAAGGTTACGGAGGTCCACAAGGCCTAAGGAAGCTCTCGGATAATGGAGACTTTGGGCTAGCTACTTGGGAACACCAAAGTTCAAGACCATTACTTAGAGTTCTCCAATGTGGGTGAGCAAATAAGATATTTTTCAAGCACTTCCTTTTACCCATAGGAAATAGTCATTTTCTAAATACCTAGCTTTACCTACTGGAAACAAGCAATTTACAGTGCTTCTTTTTACCCATAGGAAATAATCAGTTTATGGTACCTAGCTTTATATGCGAGAAAATAGTATGCCCCAGTGCTCCCTTTTAACCACTGAAAATATGCTGGTTCCAGCACCTTCCTTTACCTATTAGAAATAAAGGAAAACCCTCACCCTGTATAAATTGGCTTTCATGGCTCAAGCAAAAGGCACCAATTTTTCTTCAGCCAACACTTCCTAACTCGGCTACTGCAAGCATCCCAGCAGCCATCAACCCCCTTTAGCAACCACCAGACTACTTTCCTTCCTCCATTCAGTTGTTGCAAGCATTCCAGCGACTATCCCAGCCATTCCTCAGCCATCACAATCATGTCTTCTACTTTCTCACCTTTGAAATCCATCATCTTCTCCATAAAGCCTCACCAAGCATAACTCCAAGTTTTTCCTTTCTTCCAAGCTATAAACACCATAGCTTTCAAGCTTCAAGCTTTTCCTTTTATCCTCCCACCTCTAGGACTCATAAATTTCTCTAGAATCATTGTCACAAACACCATACCTTTCAAAGTCTTAAGCTTTTCTTTCCTCAGCCATGCTCTTTGAAACCCCATTCATTTGACTGCTATAAGCATCCCAACAACCATCACAGCCAAACAGTCAAACCGTCATAGCCACAGCCTCAAACAATAAATTCTCAACACCCAAACTCAAATATATCAAACACCAACCCAAGCACAAGCATTCTCATTTGCTGAACTTGTGGGTCTTTAGCTCCCACACTCCAAGCTCTCATGCCAAGCTCATATAATCTCATATCAACATCAACAAGTCATCTTCAACTTAGCCAGAGCAAGCAACATCCTTACTCATTGCTGGAAGCTTCAATCTCAAGCCGTGTTCTTCCATACTCTTCCTCTCCCTCCCATAAACATATCCAGAGAGAGCAAGCATCACCACTCACCTCTAGAACCCTTCTATTTCAAGCTCTGTTATTCAATTTCTTCCCTTTTTTATCTTTTGGCAAGCCACCCAAAAGCCTAACAAAGCTTTCGTCAAGCTGCTGGAAATCTACTCAAGCCACCCATCTCTTATCTCTCTATCTCTCTCTCAAAAAAGCTCCATCCCGTATCTGAAACACCTAACCTCTCATGGCTAGTCTAGTAGTGTCTCAATTCACAAAGCAAACTCTCATGCCAAGTCTGTGTAACATTAATGCGCCATCTTCAACTCTTCGTCAAGCTGTCGGAAACATCAGTACAAAATATGCAGCTGCTGGAAGAAGAACAGAGTACTCCCCTAGGACTTGCTTCTCCCTCGGGATGCTTTAAGTCTAGTTCTCGCTAACTCATACAAATGGGCAACAAAGGCTTCATTCATCACTCTGTGGCGATCCAAGAATCAATAAGCCCGGACGCGCCTTCGAACGAAAAAGACCCCAACACACACATGCCACACCAAGTAGAGAAGCAACACGCCACACTACAAGCTTAAGTGGGCCCCACACCAAGTAGAGAAGCAACACGCCACACTACAAGCTTAAGGGGGCCAAAGCCACTAAAATGCCCGGGGTTTTGTTTACAAGACCAACATGTATGACTTGTTCTATAGATCAAGCTCATGCATAGATAGACAGATACCCAAAAAGAGAGAGGCCTATTATCGTAACCTAAATAAACAAGGCCCAGTATCTATGGGTGTGCCAGTGGAATATCCTTGCCAAGGAATCAAATGGGTCCGACATCATAAAATATAGATAATAGATTTTGGGCTAGTTTGGCAATGTTCTTTAAGTGGGTTAAAAACATTTTTGGCTGACATTTGGCAAAGATAGTAAAATAAAAGTGCTAATAAGGATGCGAAAGGAGTCAAAAAGGTATTGATCTACGAACAAGTGATCTAAGGTTCGAATTGTCGTGACACCTTGTAAATATGGCAATGTTCTCTAAGTGGGTTAAAAGCATTTTTTGCTGACATTTGGTAAAGATAGTAAAATAAAAGTGCTGATAAGGATGCGAAAGGAGTAAAAAAGGTATTGATCTGTGAACAAGCAATCTAAGGTTTGAAGTTTCGTGACACCTTATTAATATGTGTGTATGTGAGAAACTCCCCACTCCAAACTCCCAAACAAGCTATGTGAAGTGGTATTTAGCTATCAAAAACTACAACTATTATATTGATTCAAGTAGCCAAATTTTAGAATTAGATAGGTGGCATGCACTTGATTTAGTATTCATCTATCGGATGCACACTTTTAAGCTGTCATTTTGTCTAAGGTAGATACTCGCGGCCAGCATTTAGCGTTCAAAACAGGTTTTTTATTTTTTATTATTTATTTTTTATGTCTATCGTGGCCATGCCCTAGAGATTTATTTTGCTTGTCTACGTGCACAAAAATCAAATAAATACAGACCTTAAAATGCTATAATAAGGAACAAAATGTGAATTGGAAAATGGTTTCTAAAAATGCCCCAAGAGATGCAACTAAAATAACAAGCACAAATACAACACAAAACTCCGAAATTACACATTTTGAGAAATTTAAATTTCAAGTATGTCTTTGAAAATTTCAAGTGGGCTTTTCGATATATACACAGTGAAACTATTTTGGTCTAAGTAAACTTTGTTTAACATAGGCTGCCTTCTCCATATACAATTTCTTGATCAAGTGGGCATAGAGATACTTTACCTTAGATGATTGTTCAATTATTATTTTTTTTAATAAAATAGATGATTGTTTTCAATTATTTTTTTTGATAAAATAGATGATTGTTCATTTTGATTACAAGACCAACATCTATGACTTGTTCCTATAGTTCAAGCTCATGCATAGATAGATAGATACCCAAAAAGAGAGAGGCCTATTATCATAACCTAAATAAACAAGGCCCAGTATCTATGGGTGTGCCAGTGGAATATCTTGCCTGGGAATCAAATGAGTCCGAAATCAGAAAATATTCACTCATGCATAGATGATAGATTTTGGGCTAGTTTGGCAATGTTCTCTAAGTGGGTTGAAAGCATTTTTTGCTGACATTTGGCAAAGATAGTAAAATAAAAGTGCTGATACGGATGCGAAAGTAGTAAAAAAGGTTATCTGTGAACAAGCGGTCTAAGGTTTGAAGTTTCGTGACACTTTATTAATATGTGTACGTGAGAAACTCCCCACTCCAAACTCCCAAACAAGCTATGTGAACTGGTATTTAGCTATCAAAAACTACAACTATTATATTGATTCAAGTAGCCAAATTTTAGAATTAGATAGGTGGCATGCACTTGGTTTAGTATTCATCCATCGGATGCATACTTTTAAGCTGTCATTTTGTCTAAGGTAGATACTCACCGCCAGCATTTAGCATACAAAACAGGGTTCCAAAGGATTCCACAATAAACAAGACAAATCTGATGGGTGTCATGTGATCTCAAATTTGACCACCATCCCCAATCAATGGGCTATACTATTACTATAGCACTAGCACAAAAACAAAACCAAGTTGATAATTAGTAGCAGATTGGGGGTTTGCTTATATTTAACTACAAAATCTAGCTCAGATTTCATTTGGGTTATTTTTCTTCAAGTCTTCAAGCAAGAAGACAGTGTTAAAGGGTTCAATAATCATACACCCCAAAACCCTAGAGCATTGAAAGGCCTAGAGTAGAAAAACTTTGGTAAAATAAGAATATCATTGTTTTTTTATCTCGGCCAATCACAGCATGTCAAATAAAAAATTTATCATACGTAACATATCGTGATTCGCCGAAAATAATAAAATAAAGTAATCTCCATGTCATACAACTGTTTATCGGCCTAGATAGGTAGGCAAAGCAATATAGATTCAATATTTATTATGAGCAAAACCAGATAAACTGCCAAATGATAGCTGAAAGCTGATAATACTGCATGGCTGCTTTTGAACCCATTTCGGCTTTTGACATCAACATCCAGGCTTCATTCAATTTCAGCCGTATCTTGGATTCTACTCAACCTCACAAAAGTGATTGGTTTTGGGAAACAGAGTTCTGCAAACTGCTACGCCGCCTGAACAAGGCCTGAACAGTCTGAGGCCAAAAAGAAAAGACTGGTATTGGTAATGGTGAAGAGAAAGGAGTTGTTTTTTAGAAGTAAAAGAGGTTTCCATATTTGGTGAAGCTTGTCAGCGTCACTTTTTTCTTGAGACTTTGCTTTCAGATTGGAAGTCTAACCTTAATAATCTCCAAAATTTTGTCTACTCGCAAGCAAACCAACGCCCTCTCCTCCCTCCTCTCTCTCTCTCTCTCTCTCTCTCTCTCTCTCTCTCTCATCCTAGATATTTAGATATTTGTTTTTTTTCTTACATATTTTTTACTGGATTTCACCTTCAGACATGAGGGTTTATACTTATAGCAACTCCATGCAAACTACAAAAGTTTGAGGCAAAGGGTAATTTTTTATCTTATGTGACACTTTGCCCTGAATATTTTTCAAGTAATATTGATTTGGATTAATTATTTTAAAAGTCGATAATGCAATATTCTAAACTACGAGAAAGAGGAATTCAAACTAATGTGCAAAAACACTGACTAGTGGCGAAGCTAAAATTGTAAAGTTTGAAGGACCGAAATAGAAAATATAAGTATATAAAACACTTAAGTATTCAACAATTACATGTTTAGAGTTAAACATTTATAGTTTAGTCATGTTTAAATCGAACGGGAGAAAGGGCCAGGCCGGCCACTCAAGATCTATATCTTAATTTTTGTTTTGTTTAGAGAAAGAATCCGTGATTCTAGGTCCAATGATGCATATGCTGTCTCCTATAAGCCTATTCCTATTTAATAATGCTTTTGTTGGCATACAATAACTTAATGTTCAACGTGAAATAGCTTCAACTCTTATAGGTCAAAGTTTTGTTTTACTAATCTCCTCCCATTTTCAAGAAATGATCAATGAGGAGCTCTTCTTCTTCTTCTTCTTCCTCGTCCTGAGTGGACTCTTACGCATAAGATATGCAATCTTGTCATAAACAGTAGATTGTTCCACATACATTCTTGTGAGAATCCGACGGGATGTGCACAAATATAGTATTTTTATTTTAATGCTATAAGCACCACTCTTCAAATTGCAAGTATTCTAATTAGTACTTCTTTTCTTGATGACAATACCATTTTCTATTTTCACTTAAATTTTTCGAGCAAATTTGAGGAAATGTGGCTCCTATATATTCAAATTAATCATGTTTTTCCTTTATTAATTATTTTTTAAAGCAAACTCAATTTATAATTTTTTTTTAATACCAACGATATTAAAAATAGAAAAATACAGATAAAAGACTTGAAGTGCATCGGTAACTGATGGAAAGGTTTGGATTCTCTATAGACACAATAAACGCAATGTATTGAATAATATTGAAGGTCAAATATTTCTCTTTCTCAATATGAAATTATGTCCTTGGATCAATTCCCATACGTCGTGGCTACCAACTATCTTACTTATAAGCTACTTAATTTCAAAATTAATTTTAAAGATGATGATTCCTTTGGCTTGGCTTGAAAAATAACATCCCATCTTTTCTTATAGCCGCCTTGTCATTTTTGGACTTTATAGCACAAGCATCATGGCTAGCTTTAATAGGGATAAATACCTAGGAGCACTGATGTGCTTAGCACGATGACAGGCGGTGCGGCCTCCTTTATCATTACTCTTTTTATATATGTACACCTATCTTTAGGTTTTAAATGCGTAAACGAATCTAGCCCAATAAAAAAGAATATTAATATAATTTGGCAAATGAGTGATATCAAGTTCGAACCTTCATGACACCTTGGCAATGTGTGTATGAAAAAACCGACATCCTCCATCCTAACTTTAGCCATACAAAAAAAATATATATATATCTAGGCTTAATGTTCTCTTATAAAATATGAAACTCTAAACCCTTCAAAATATCCTTAGTATTTAAAATTGAAAGATCAAGATTTCAACAAGGACATGAAAAAAGAGGGCAAGAAAATTGAATAAGATGATGATAGTACGATCTATACAATAGTTCAGAAAAAGAATATGAAATTGGAGTTGTTAGATCAAAAAGAAGGAGATATCAACTAGGAGTTGGACTAAAGCATAAGGATCACTACTTTTTCTTCCAAATATTATTACAACTTGAAATGAATGGTGGCTTGCCTTGTTAAGGGTAGACAGAAAAATTGAATGAAGCATGGTCCATGACCTAGCTTAAATTCTTGTTCTCTGTATATTGTCTCTTTTCTTAGATGTGTCCCAATCAACCATGCACAGAGTCGCAGACAAAGTCTAGTTTGAACGCGACGGCAACCACCCAAGAGGGAGACCACTCTATAAACATGGTACACATCAAGCCAATAAGCAACTTAATTTTGGTGCTGTCATGGGCTGTGTGTGTGTGGTACCTGTCATCATCATCAATTCATTATACTAATTGTGCATGTTGTAGCAATTATGTCCCCCAATCCCAAAGCTATTGGACACCCACCCCAATCCCAAAAGTCCCAAACCCTTTCCAAGCTCCAAGCTCCAATTTCCAAATGAGCGAATGAGTAGTATTAGACCATTTGACCTAGAATTAGGCCAGTTTAGAATTTATTGAGGGGTGTCCCTTGAATTGTAGGAGTTGATGGGGATGATAAAAGTTGACACCTAATTATGTTACACCCACACATGATAGTAATTTTGCAGTATTTTTGACTTGTTATTATTATTATTTGACAAAGCCGCATTCTAAATTAGTCTAATTTATAGAAAGAGGGGTCAAGCTCAAGTACAATGGGGCAGGATGCGCTGCCTTGACTTGGCCGCATCTGCTATTTACTTATTATTTTTAGAATACATTGTTATTAGTGTTGATGAAAGGCCACAGAATTGTTTGTGTTCTCATCTTTTGTCAACCCTCTTCTAGCCTTCATGTTTTATACTTGCACAACAATCTCAACTTTTCACGTATAACATTGATATTCCCCATTCAAAACGTATGAAATTTTTAAAATATGAATTTCCTATTTCCCATAACAGTAGTTGACCTTCAAGTATAGGTTTTTTTTCTTTGTTTTTTTAAACAAACAATATTCTATTTTAATTTAATCTAAATTACGGGAAGGAGGATTCGAACTCTAGTGCAAAGTGAAGAACATATCTATTTTAGTCAACTTATTCTAAACTACCCTAATGAATATAGAGGGGGATTGCACTCGGTGCATTCGATCGAGCAAACTGCTTTAATTAACTGGCCTTGTCCGCGTATGAAAACTGAGACTTGAATTAAACCATTTGTGTTCAAATAAAAACCAAATAAGATGACTTTTAGCTTATGATATACAAGATTTGAATTAGTTAGAATCGAGACAAACATAACATATGATGCATATCCATAAACTACTATTTAACGTGCAAATTAGTTCATTATATATATGTATAACTATATGCACATCGAATGTTCTTTACAATAGAATAATAGAATAGAGATTTGGGATTCGGTTGTGCTTTTGTTGTGTGACCCATCATCATCATCATGTACTAATCAGTGGTGACTTGTCTGGAAAAGGACAAGTGTCATCTTTAAATCCAGCAGGCAAAAACTTTTTTTTGTGGGTTCCATGGATTTAGGGTGTGAGGCTTTGACCTCCTCTTTCTCTTCTCAAGTCTCTATCAGAAAGCAGGCTGCACGATTGGGACCCTGAGACGCGTTGCACGGTTAATTAATTCAATGCCCGTTAAGACCCTTTCTAAGAATCATCTCCTGCTTGTTAATTCATTTTCATTTCATAGCTGTTAGCCTATTAGTTTTATTTCTATCAACAACAACAACAACAAAAACCACAACATTCGTTTTCATTTTTGCCCTTCTTTATCGTATATTTTGTATTTGGTTCCCTTATTTTGTGTTTTGTTGTTTATTTTATCTGAAAATATTTTTGCTCACCACTTTAACCCGAAATGTATGCTCACTACCCTTCTCAACATTTAACACATGTTTATAAGCATAACAATGGTTACATAAATTAAAGTAAAAAATTAACCATGGTTATGCCTATGAATACGTATTCTAGCTAATTGCGTTAAAGTTGTGAGCAAAAATATTTCCATTTAATCTAGCCAAATGCATTTCACTTATTCATCGTGAAATTAAATGCTAAAATTATTATATACTCCGTTAGAAAAACTTAAAAGGACTCAGTTACTAAGGTGTGCAGAACTGTTTGTTTTGTTGAATTTTTTTTTTTTCCAGTTCTTGTGCAAATTTAAAACATATAAACACAAAAGATGGTTGGATGAAATGAATGGTCGAGAATTTTTATTTTCAATTTTTCTTAACCTAGTTTACAAATCTTAATCCCTTTTGTATATAGTTGAAAAAAAGAAGACAAACTACTCTTTTTTCTCTTTTCCAAACTAGAAATATTATTATTATTTTTAATTATTATTATTATTATTTTTTGGAGAAAGGACGATTATTTGCATAGAAAGTTAACAATCTTGAATAAGGAGATCCTGAACAAGCTAAGGGGCTCAGGGTTCAGCGTTTATCATGTATTTATACTTGGAGCAAACCTAAATTTCAAGCCAAAAACTTCAGTAGCTAAAATTAAGTAACACTTTTGTTTTTCTTTGATAAGTAAATAATATACACTCCATTTAACATATATTCCCTTCGAACTTTATTTAGAGACATCAGTGTTCCATTTATTCCATAACTTGTGTTTTCTGTCATTTGATTACAAATTTTGTTGCCTTAGTTTTCAATGACAACGAACTACATGCAGTTGCAAAATTAGGTACCAACGATTGCTATCTATTAGCGGCCTTAAGATTCAATCCAATAATGGTTATTAGATAGGAAATTTGGTGACTAGTATTGGATTGGATTGGAAATGAAGGTAGGGGTGAATGACTTTCCATGTTGGGAGAATTAGGAAGGATTAGTTATAAAGTATAGTTATCCCACCATTTTGTGGGGATTACATGGGATAAATTTTCTTCGTAAGTAATCCATCTTCTACCTTCAACTTGGTAAAATAAAAAAAATAAAAAAAATAAAAAAAATAAAAAAATCATTTCTTTCTTAAATATGCTTTAAATATAGTGAGTGTCTAGTCCAATCCAATCCAATCCAATCCAATCATAGTCACCAAACATAACATTAGTTTTTTTTTCTTTCTCTCTCGTTTGTCTTTGAGAAACATAAAAGATACTCTTAGTTAAAAACATATAAGAGAGGTAAATACTTTTAACCACTTAAGCTACAAAATACTTGATCTTAAGGAACTATTTTTGGTCAGAATCTTATTAAACTAACAACGGTAAATTGTAAGGTCAATTTGTGGTATAAATAATTCACCTTTAGTGTGAATCGAACACAAGACCAAGGGTATAAGGTTAATACCTTTAACCACTTAACTACACCTTGTTTTAGCCATCAAGATCTTAACCAACTATTTTTGGTCTGAATTTTAGTAAAGTAATGATGGTAAATTGTAAGGTCAGGTTGCGGTTAGAAATAATAATTCACCTTTTTGGTCCTAAAGGTATGATGTAATCATGTTGGGTAGAGCATAAGAGGTTAGTTTCTGAAATTGTGAGTAGTTAAGAATTATATGAAAAGGAAAGGACACCATTGCAAAAGCAGCTGTACTGAAAATGGTGTCAAGGCAAAAAGGAAACGAAAAACAAAAAACAAAATGGTAATGATTTAAAAATTAAAACCAAAACTAAAATTAGTAGTGGTATTTGGGGTTTAGTCTGATTGAGACACTAAAAATGGCAGACATTTCACCACCATCATTCTTTTCTCCCCTCCAACTGTTTGGTCTGCTAGCGGTTCTCGGAGCCAAAACCGGAATCAAAGACCAATGTGTTGAATCCTTTGTTCAGACCCAACGGAGCAGGAAAAGAAAAAAAGGAGAAAAAAGGAAAAGAAAGAAAAAAAACACCAGAAACAGAGAAAAAGCCAGTCATTGGTACCAATCGAACCTTTTTGCTTTCCCCATCAATCAAATAGTTCGAATTTTTTCTGGATTTTTTAAAAAAAAAAAATTTCGAAATCTGAAATACCCATATCACAAAACCAGAAAAACCCACAAAAAACAAAACCCAGATTTGAAAATTTGTTTTTAGTTTTGTATCGATTCCCTCCACGTTCTTCTCTCTTCTGGGTTTGTTCCATCCAGGAATGGTTACTTCGCTCTGCTTTTGAAGCACGTACATTGTCTGTAAAAGAGATAAAGAGAGCAAAAGAGAGGGGGATAGAGGGGTTTTGATCTGGGATTAATGAGCCAAGAGGAATGTGAGGAAGGTGAAGAGATAGAGGTAGCTAACCAGAGGCTGGTTTTAGAGAGATAATGAGCAAAGAGTTCAGATTCATTTTGAAGGCCTGCAAAGCAACTGTGCGCAAAACACATACTGGTGGAAAGAAAAGGGCCAACCCTTTATTCACAACAATGTCAGTAGCCCCTGCAGATGATGAGCCTGGTGAAATCGGCCATGCTGAGAAGGTCCTCTCCAATGGTGACTTCTATACAGGCCATTGGGTTGATAACTATGCGCATGGCCAAGGCAAGTACTTGTGGACAGATGGGTGTATGTATGTTGGTGAATGGCAGAAGGGCAAGACAGCAGGGAAAGGAAAGTTTAGTTGGCCTTCTGGTGCCACTTATGAAGGTGAATTCAAGAATGGGTATATGGATGGTAAAGGGACTTATACAGGTGCTGCAGGAGACACTTACAGAGGTTCATGGGTTATGAATTTGAGATATGGTCAAGGGACTAAGAGCTTTGTCAATGGGGATTACTATGAGGGTGAATGGCGCCGCGGATTGCAGGACGGTCAAGGGCGGTATCAATGGAAAAATGGGAACCATTATATTGGTCAATTGAGGCATGGAATGATTCATGGGAATGGAACTATGATTTGGAGCAATGGGAATAGGTATGATGGATCTTGGGAAGAAGGTTTACCTAAAGGAAACGGTACATTTCGGTGGGCTGATGGGAGTTTCTATGTGGGGGTTTGGAGTAAGGACTCAAAAGAGCTAAACGGGACTTATTACCCAGCAGGGTCCTCTGGTGGTAATGTGGATTGGGATCCTCAGGAGGTGTTTGCAGTGGACTTGAATGATTGTAAGATATGTTCGGTTGAAACTATTTCGACTTTCCCTTCACAGAAGATGCTGAATTGGCCTGGAATGGAAGGGGAGTTCCCGAACAAGCAGGTTATTTATAAGAATGGAAACGAAGGGAATGCGAGGCCTAGGAGACCTGCAGATGCGAGGGTGAGTAATTATAGTAGGGGATCCAATGGAGATAACATGTTTGATGGAATTGATAGGAGTTCAAGAGATGGTAGTGGAGCATTTGGGAATCTTGAGTTCGAAGGTTCGGTTGCCAAGGGGAATAGACAACAGCACTTTAAAGTTCAGCCAATGAAGAAACAAGGGATAACAATATCCAAAGGGCATAAGAACTATGAACTTATGCTTAATCTGCAGTTGGGGATCAGGTATTCATGATTTGTTGGTTGTTTTCTGCTCTTCATCCTCCCCCTGTTCTGTTTTATCATGGCTTTTTTTGCCTTTCTTGGTACACTTTTTGTTCTTCCTATGCTTTTGATTCTAATCTTTTTGACCTGCAAGTAAATCTTTGAGATAAAAAGAGTTGAACGAGAAGCCTTGGAAATGTACCATGAAAGAATGGGAGGGAATATTTCCTTCAAAAACAGTTGCGTCAAATGTGTTTTCGGATCTTTTGGTTGTTTTGTATCAGTCCTTACTGTGCAACAAAGCTTAAATCTAAGCTTTTAGTTGCTTGGTACCCCTTCACTCATCCTTAATTCTTATTCATCTCTTTGAAGGCCTCCCAGCTTAGCTTATGACGATCTCCTCCATTCAGATTTTCATGCTATGTACATCTTTTTAATGTTCTAAAAGGTTTCTTAGAGCACTCTTTAGTCAAAGAGAAATCTGAGAAAAGCCTTTGAAATTTCTCTGTATATGAGAAATTACAAGCTACATAGTTTCTTTCACCAACCGCTTAAATCATTAGGTCAATTTACAAGTTTGTGAGACCGCAATGGCAGAAAAGAAGGCGAGACCAACATTAGATTATGTTATACTTACCACTCCTTTTTACAATTAAGGAAAATGGAAAACATTTATATGGTCTTGGAAGCGATCCCCAGGGTTAACCCTGGAGGGCAATCATCCTTTCTTCTGCTAGGGTGGCACGGTTCTATCGGTGGAAACCTGCTACTCTACCAAGCAAATATGATCCTGGGAGGATTTAATTATTAATTTTTTACAACTCAACATCTACAGTTCTTAACTATTTTGTATTTTTAATATATGAGTTTCTGGTATGGCAAAATTGACAATTTCAACTTCTTTCCTCTCGTGAAGTGAAAAGGTTTCCACTAAGAATATGAAATTTAAAAGTTTATATTCATGAGATAACTCTTCATTGCATGTAATTGGTTTCTTGTGCCATAGCACAGACATTCTGTTGGACGGCCTGCTCCAACTACATCTCTTGACCTGAAGACTTCAGCCTTTGATCCAAGGGAAAAAGTATGGACAAAATTTCCCCCAGAAGGATCCAAGTATACTCCACCCCACCAGTCATGTGACTTCAAATGGAAGGATTACTGTCCTGTGGTTTTCAGGTAAAGACCTGCAAATGTTTCTTTTGTAATGGATCATCTTTCTCTATCTAAGTAATTTAGTAGTGTGGTAAAGTAGTTGTTGGATTTTGTATAATACAATTCTGAAACTACCATCTCTGTGACACAAAGAGTTTCGTAATTAACTCATAGTTTCTTACAGATATATGACTTGTTTCATCATACAAGCACACTACTAGCATATCGTTTCTTTACATTCAAAATCTCGGTTGGTTCTGATTGAAGCATACATGGGTTACTGATTCGTCTTATTTACCCCTCAGGACTCTCAGGAAATTGTTTAAGGTAGATCCAGCAGATTACATGATATCAATATGTGGAAATGACGCCCTTCGAGAGCTCTCATCCCCTGGAAAGAGCGGAAGCTTCTTTTACTTAACCAATGATGACCGGTACATGATAAAGACCATGAAGAAGGCAGAAGTAAAAGTAAGTTTTGTCTCTTCCCTTTTCCCCTTTCCCCCCACTTCCTGCTTTGCCCCCACCAACCCCACCCCCCCAGATTTATATTGACTATTTGTGCCAAAACTTGCAGTTATAACCATATTCTGTCCCTTCAATTAAGATTTAAAATTATCAAATTTAGCTGATGAATGTTGTGATTCTTGAATTAATCCACAACAAATAAGAGTCTGTACTTTGTACTGCATTCTACTTCTGAAATTCATGTCTGTGGCATTCTGCAATTCCAAAGTTAGCACTGAATTATGTTGCTGCCTCTACTATTTACATTAATCATGACATCCTTCCCAATTAATACCCGAGTGAATTCTGATTTCATCCTTAAAGTTTCCACACCATATAATGTGCCGATCTCCACTACCCAATACTGTTACAGGTGCTTCTGAGAATGCTTCCAGCTTACTATAATCATGTTCGAGCCTTTGAGAATACTCTGGTCACCAAATTTTACGGTCTTCACTGTGTAAAATTAACAGGGACTGCCCAAAAGAAGGTAATGTTCTTTGGTATTTAACCTTAATTGCGTTATCAACTTCTGATTATGAACTTTATGAAATTCCAGGTGCGATTTGTCATTATGGGGAATCTATTTTGCTCCGAGTATGCCATTCATAGGCGGTTTGATTTAAAAGGCTCCTCCCTTGGCCGTACAACCGATAAACCTGAGTCCGAAATTGATGCAACAACGACTCTTAAAGACCTTGATCTTAATTATATATTTAGGTTGCAGAAGGTTTGGTTTCAAGAGTTCTGCAGGTATAGTTTTACTTTTCCTGTCTATCATCTGTCTCTCTCTCTCGCTCTCTTTCTTTTGCTAGTTGGGAACTTGTGTTCTAAGTCTCTTCTCTATGATTGTTTGGGTCTACTGTATAAACTTTTTTTGGTTAGGAAGAGGAATAAAAAATATATGAACGTTTCCTTTCCTTCATTATAGTGTTAAAACTGCGTAGGAATAGCTAGAGTCACCATCATGACTCATAAGGTTGATGCATATTATGCAACCTCAATATCATTTCTCTCATAATGAATATTCTCAATGGTAGGAACTTGATGAGAAAACAAATAGTTCCTCAGTCAGATTATACTTTCCGCTATTATGCACAATCATGCATGTTGAAAAGAGTTCCTTGGCCTTAAACTAGCTGCTAAAGCTCATTTTTCAGAATTTTTGCAGTTTTGGTTATTTGTCAAAACTCGAAAGTAACTAATGCCTGACTTTAGGAAAAAGGAGTGGTTGATTGAGGATGAGTGTAAGATGCTAAGCACTTTTGAGCAAACATTCAGGTCATAGTCAGAACTTATGCTAACCACTCACAGTTTAATTCTTTCTTTTTTCTTTGTCTCCTAACATTATCACTCCATGTATGCACGTGTACCTATGCAGTCTGTTGAGCTTAGAAACTCAGTTTAGCAAAGCTGATTAAGTTATTAAGCTTAGGCTTTTTATCTTGTTGTGCATTAAGCATATCTATATATAAAAAAAAGCATAATGTCTGAATAAATAAAATGATAACAATTTCCATAAAACCTGAGCCTGATTTATGTTGGGGAACTGATTCCTATTAGTTTAACATACAGGGGGAAAAGCCCTCATTTTGGTAGTACCCCTTCCTTTATAAGGTTTGAGTTTGCGTTAGATTCATACACTTTGAATGCTATGTCCATATGTGAGAATGTTTGGTACATTAGAAGTTAGATATGGAGGATTTTGCAGTAATATTTTAGTCTAGTTTCTCTTTTTAAGTTAAAAGTATACCTTGATGCAGGCAAGTGGACAGAGATTGCGACTTTCTTGAACACGAAAGAATAATGGACTACAGTCTGCTGGTTGGCCTTCACTTCCAAGAAGCTTCACGCAGGGAACCCCCCACACCAGACCGAACCTCTGGAGTTCGCACTCCTACTGGTTATTTCTAGCTCATTTCTTCAATTACTTGGCCAGCTCATAAATTTAAAGCGAACCCTTTCTGACACATGATTTATGTTGTCATCTCGCAGGAAATGCCGACCCTGACAATGAAGGGGCCCCTCGCCTTTCGAAAGTCGACATGGATAGGCTTATTTCTGACTCGAACCGGTAGGAATGAATCCATTAACACTGTGCTAACTTTCATCTTTTGAAGAACTCCCTAGTAGTAATTATACCTGATTCATATGATTTGATTGCATTCTTTCAGGTGGTCTTCGATTAGATTAGGTATTAATATGCCTGCATGGGCTGAAAGGACAGTGAGAAGAAGTGATTGTGAGGCTCAGTTGGTTGGAGACCCAACAGGAGAGTTATATGATGTCATTCTGTTCTTCGGTATAATTGACATACTACAGGACTATGATATTAGCAAAAAGCTTGAGCATGCATACAAATCATTCCAATATGACCCAACTTCAATCTCTGCTGTTGATCCGAAGCAATACTCAAGACGCTTTCGTGCTTTCATCTTCAGAGTTTTTGTAGAAGACACATGACAGTATAATTTGACCCGAGTTTTAACTTGAAGCTGGCAGTCATCCCTGTATAGTTGGTCTTTAGCGGAAATGGCAATGCTTACTAAAAGAAAGCATCAGTTTGGTCATTGACATTGTCATTGAGTTTGAGTAGTGGCTGCCAGGGGAGTATGCTTTGGCATATCTGTTATTGCATTTATTCCCCAGTGTCATAACCTCTTTTAATTTATAGTCACAGATATACGATGTGTTGTGGTTAGAGATTAAAGTTGTGAACAGAGTTACTCAAGCCTTTTGGAATTGTAAATGAAAAAGAAAACCAAAAGGTGTGGACCTACAGTGGATGTGATTCATTTTGTATAAAAATTTGTTCTTCCCAGGTGAGGTGTCTCTGGTATTTCAACATTGAAAGAGAATGTACAGGAAATGAACGGACAAGCTCTAGTTTATCATGCCTTTACAATTAGATGGACTCTTGTGTATTTTTCTTTTTCAGTTTTTATATTTTGTTTTGAGATGTGATTCTTTGTGTCATAGCCTAAATCAAGCTACATATCATGATCTCCATTGAAAGGCCAGCAGGTCCAAGGTTGGATGAACATGCCGGTGCAAACAAATGAATGACAATCCTAACAATCCTAAACAAGATGTGTTTCTTTCTTAGGCACCTCCTCTAGTAGAGGTTGACAGCCCTAAATTGCCAACTGCATCGCAGCCACTTTGATGGTTCGTGTCTGTTGAAAATTATGGCGATAATAGAAACAAAATGTGTCTGATCGGTTTCGTTCAATTTTCATTGGTTTGAGGCAGCAACGATGGGAGAAGAGGTAGGGAGGGGCAGCAAGGAGCTAAGGCTTTAGAGAGAGAGAGAGAGAGATAACATATATGAATAGATCTAACTACTAGTGTTAAAAAACAAGACGTCATGTTCCCATTGAAAAAAAAAAAACAAACAAAAAACGAATTTTTTAAACAAATTGGTAAAAGATTTGTCAAAAAAAAAAAAAAAAAAATCAATACAATTTAATAAGGATAAACTTGGAAAGTATAAATTAGTTTTATGACACATTAATGACATTGTTTTAAGTGCAAGGAAAATGAAATATGTCATGAAGAAAATGGAGAAGGTCCAAAAGAGAATGTTAGAGAGAAAGTTGCTAGTATTTCCTAGGGGTGGCAATTTCCTACATGACCCGTTACACGACTCGAAACCCGCACGGAAAAAACACGACTCGAACCCGCACGATTAATAATTGGGTAATTTTCGGGTCAACCCGTTTTGACCCGTTTATTAAACGGGTCGTGTCAACCCGTGTAAGACACGCCAACTCGCGAAAAAATATAGAGAAATAGAGACTTCAAAACACACATATGGGGTTTTGAACCCCCACCATCCTCATTACTCTCCAAGACCTTATCCACCATGCTAGATACAACTTTGTGATTATATACTATGCCTTTTGATATTTATAATGTTTCTTTTTATTCTTTTGTTTTTTTTTTCTTTTCCGTCTACCTTCTCCTCTCTCTTTTTTAATTTCTTTTCCTTCTCTCTTTTCTCCTCTCTTTTTTTACTTCTCTTTAGTTTTCTCTCCTCTCTTTTTTATTTTTATTGCTTTCCTTCTCTCTTCTCTCTCTCTCTCTCTCTCTATTTTTTTTTCTTTTCCTTCTCTCTTCTCTCCTCTCTCTATCCTTTTTTTTTTCTTTCTTTTCTTTATATTTTCTCTCCTCTCTCCGTTTTTTTATTTAAATGTTTTCAGTTATGACTTTTGTAACATGCATGTTATTATTTATCAACCCGTTACACGACTCGAAACCCGCACGATAAAAGACGACCCGAACCCGACACGACACGTTTATTAAATGGGTTGGGTTCGGGTTGAGCATTCTTGACACGTTTAATATCCCGACACGACACAAACCCGACACGACCCGACCCATTGCCAGCTAATAATTAAAGCATATTTTAGGAATAATGGTGGGTGAGGAAATAGAACTTGGGGTGGAAATAGCAATACTTATTTGTTATTTGCATAAGCTTTCGTGAGAACAGTTTAAAACATTATAAGGTATTTATGCAATTTTTGAAATCTCATGGGTTTGGTGAAAACACCGAAAACTTCAAGGGTGTTAATGTAAAGAACTCATACATCCAATTGAGGAAATAGCGATACTTATTTGTTATTTGCATAAGCTTTCGTGAGAACAGTTTGAAACATTATAAGGTATTTATGTAATTTTTGAAATCTCATGGGTTTGGTGAAAACACCGAAAACTTCAAGGGTGTTAATGTAAAGAACTCATACATCCAATTGAGGAAATAGCGATACTTATTTGTTATTTGCATAAGCTTTCGTGAGAACAGTTTGAAACATTATAAGGTATTTATGTAATTTTTGAAATCTCATGGGTTTGGTGAAAACACCGAAAACTTCAAGGGTATTAATGTAAATAACTCATACATCCAATTGAGGAAGAGGCTTCCAAATTGCTTCTGGGCCGTACCTGAGAGAAACCACGTCGAGCGTCTATAAATAAACCAAAGCATCAGATTGGAGTAATTTTTGTAAGTTTGAAGTTCAACCCTTTGTTTTGGGTTTTCTTATTGCCTCAGATTGGAGTAATTTCTTTGCTTTGATTTGTAGCTATGAAGACTGAAGAGGTTTTTCTGGCAGAAGATTTCCTACCACCATGGATAGCAGCAGTGAGCCAGTGACCATCAGCTGTGAAAATGGTGAGGAAACTTACCCTAGCTGCAATGGTTTATCCTATACCAGGCAATTTTATTTGGATGGTTCAGATCTTTTTTGAATACCGAGAACTGCATACTTTCTAAAGGCAGAAAAACAGCTACGCTTTAATTCCTGTAGAAATTGTTCATCATCAACCTCTAACATGATTCAACTCCGCAATTTGAAGACCTTCAGATTGGTTCACTCAATATTTTCTTGTACATTTGCTTCCAAACAGAGTGTTAGTTGGAGATCCAAAACCCTCACATTTTTCTCTTCAGAGTCAGTTGCTCTGTAGACACATCACCTGCGAAATCTCAGAAAACCAACACAATTTCAGTCACTTACCTCATAAACACTTGTGGATTGTCCCCAGAAGGAGCGATTTTAGCTTCTAAGTGGGTCGAGTTGCAGTCATCAGAAAGAGCAGACTCCGTTTTAGAGCTTCTGAGAAACTATGGAGCATCTCAAACCCAGATATCAAAGCTTATTAGGTCTCATCCAAGACTTCTTTTAACTGATCCTGAGAAAACCCTTTTGCCAGAGCTTGAGTTTTTCAGCTCTCTTGAAATTTCAAAAGTGGACCTATTAAAAACTCTGGCTTTTAATCCAAAACTTTTGGAAATCAGCTTGAGAAATCGGATTTTGCCCACTTGTAACTTCCTCAGGAGTATGCTCTCTGAGAAAAATGTTGGTGTTGTTTTCAAGCTCAAGTCATGGATTTTCTTGGAAGGTCACTGCAAGCATTTGGTGCCAAATATTGGGCTTTTGAGAGAGTCGGGCATGCCTCAACCATGCATTTCTTTTTTGCTAACTCGTGGTACTCGCGTTTTGATGGTAAATCCTGAAAAATTTGGTCAACTTGTGAGTGAGGTTAAGGAAATGGGATTTAATCTGGAAAAATCAACTTCAGTGAATGCCCTGTGTGCATTGTGTGGTAAGAATAAGTTGGTATTGAATAGAAGTCGCGAAGTTCTTAAGACATGGGGTTGGTCTGAGGATGATTTTCTCTCCGCTTTCAGGAAGTACCCACAGTGTATGGTTGTCTCGGAGAAGAAACTTATGCAAGCAATGGATCTTTTAGTGAACAAGATGGGATGGTCATCAGGAATGATTGCCAAATATCCTGTGGCCTTCGGTCTCAGTTTTGAGAGGAGACTTATCCCAAGGTGCTCTGTTATTAAAGTTCTGTTGTTGAAAGGTTTCATAAATGAGAACTTGAATCTGAGCAGAGAACGAACAGAGAAGCAGTTCTTGGAGATTTTTGTGAACAGATATCTTGGCGAAGTACCTGAATTGTTAAGTGTGTATCTATCAAGGGAAGGTAGATATCCAGGATGTATGATCTGATATGTTGAAACGGGTGAGGATGTAATTATTTTAGCCACCTGATGGTGCCTCACTCATATGCATTAGCTTGCTTTTGACACAATACTACAATGCTGTCCTCTACCCTAGGAATTTTGTCTTTAAAGTAAGGTTTAAATTGTATCCCACATCTTACTAAAATTTTGCAGGAAGTAAATTCAGTTTTTCATTCTTCTACTCGGCAGCCTACCTATTTTTAATTAGATTTATATATGCTTTCTTATTAGATCAAATGCCTGCCGTAGCGTCGGCCCGAATTGTTCTGTTTATGGTTCCCGACTTTGGTTATCCTTGAAAGTTGATTTTGTACAATGTGCGCATGTATTGCTTCTATTAGGGTACAGTGTATTGTATTTTGGGTGAGGAGTGGAAGAAACTAATTTCTGTCCATTTTTTAAAAGATAAGAATGACTCTCAATCCTTTATCCCTTGCTCTTTGAGTAATTGTCCTTTGAGATGCAGCTAGCCTACTTAAGCGGCCACGGTTGATTTATAGGAACTACTTCAGTGTCAATGATTGATTAGTTTCATATGGAATCATGTCAACATGGAATCAAAGGACTCGATAAGCATCATTTTCTCATTGTTTTCTCTCATGTTAGCCTTTTTACCGGGACCTTAACGATTAGGAACGCGATATCTGCAATGCTCGATGAATTGGGAATTCAGGGGACATAAAACCCGGCTCTGATGGATGTGCAAAGTAGGGTGGTTTGGCAGTTGCTATCTTTAGGATGAATATATCCCGCACTGATGGATGTGCAAAGATGTGTGGAACTTCTCTTTGTTCGCCAAAATATAAAAAGAGGCCTTGGTTATTCTTTACTTGGTTGACAGTTTTCTAGAATTGATTCTTAGCATACATGCAATTCATTGCCCCAAGCCATGAGAATATAAGTGCCTGAAAATGAATTTTCTGATGTTATGCAAGCACTTAATTTCCTGAAGGGATTTTTTTATTTATTTAAATGTCACATGAACTTATACATTGAAATCAATTTGTCATTAAGAAAAATTTAAGAGAAATGTCACCTTAATATTTTTCAAAATCCATGATTTGTCATCTCACTTTAACACCATCCAATCCTCCATCTATTTTTAAGGGTATTTTAGTTTCCATTTTCAAGGATATTTTAAAAATATAAAAATCATTAAAATAAATAAAATTGAAAATAAAAAAAATATCACCTTACCCCATCATTTGTGCACCACCAACGACTCAAACCAACCTGCCCACCTTGAAATCCAATCCCCCTTCCCTCTTTACAGGCCTTTTCTCCATTCCCCCTTACACACACAAATTTCCTCAGCCCATCCAAACAAGGGCAGAACAAGGAATTTTTGTAGGGTTGGGCTAAATTTTTTTTCTCTGGGTTCTTCTATATTTTAGCTAAAACACATATTTTTAGTCCTCGATGTTCGAACACACAATATTTGTTGGAGTGTGGGTTTTCTTTCCCCCAATTAAAATTGTTTAGAATCAATTCCCCCCCGCATTCATGGAGGGCAAGAATGCTATCAAACACTTTACTGAAATCCAAATCCCCAGAAATTGGGTAAAAATTTTGAATTATCTATCTACCTAGTCTTTGAAGAACTCAGCACTTGCTTCCTGCAAGGGTCAACCTCAAATATCTCTCAATTGAAGAGATTTAGGAGGCTAGATAAGGACTTTAGTATTACTATTTTGGCCTAGTTTTTAATTTTTTTTTTAAATTTTTTTAATTTTTTAAGTTGACAAAATTTGTGACTTTAAACGAGGAAAAAAAAATCGTCACTCTGAATGAAATTAATGATCAGATCAAGCAAATAACACATTTTAGGATTGTGTTCCAAGCCACTCTGCATCCAGGCATTTTTGGAGTCGTGTTTGAAGCCATTTTGAGACAACGATAATTATGGTTGAAATTGGAAGAGAAATACCGAAGTGTAGAATTTTGATGCGTAAATATGCATTTGTGCGAGAAAAAGATGATGAAGTGAGACTATTTTATGAAGCCCTAAATGCACATAAGAGAACACATGGCATAAAAAAGCGCCCCCAAAACATTCGGTATAAGATTTGGCAAATTTCTAGAATCTACGCACTAGCCAAAATGGGCTATTGGGTTCATTTTACAAAAAATTGGGCTTTATCCATACTGTAACATCCCTGGCCCAATTTAATCGATTTAATCCAATTTAATTCTTTTCTTACAGATATATGACTTGTTTCATCATACAAGCACACTATTAGCATATCATTTTCTTTACATTCAAAATCTCGGTTGGTTCTGATTGAAGCATACATGGGTTACTGATTTGTCCTATTTACCCCTCAGATCAGGACTCTCAGGAAATTGTTTAAGGTAGATCCAGCATATTACATGATATCAATATGTGGAAATGACGCCCCTTGTCCCAAAGAAACAAAAGCCCTCGACTTTTTGTAAGTTTGAAGTTCAACCCTTTGTTTGGGGTTTTCTTATTGCCTCAGATTGGAGTAATTTCTTTGCTTTGATTTGTAGCTATTGTTTATACCCAAATGAACAGCCAATAAGCATCGGACACTGGACCAATTTATAGCTATGGGAACCTTCGGCACCTGGCTACAGTTCGTTCCTACCGATCGCACGATTAGGGCAACCTCACCACAAGGGGCACGTGGCAGTCCCACAATTGGAGTCCACAATACCACATCAAAATTCTAAACAATATGCACACCTCCCAAGGCCTATAAAAGAGGACAACTATCCCAATAAGGGGGTAATCAATCAGAACTTACGGCATACTACCTATTGATCTGTAGTTCAATCTTACTAAATCCGTACTTACTTAAGCATCGGAGAGCCTTCGGCCGGTACCACACCAGTGCCCTAGGTCTTACCAAGCGTTTGTTATCTTGCAGATCAAACGCCCTACCGAGACCAATAGCATACCGAAGGCATAACATCACTAAGTTGCGCGGGAAAGTGTCGAACCATTTTTTTGCGTCAACAGTTTGACGCCGTCTGTGGGAAACGATAAGAATCAACCTACAATTCCTAAAAAACACATGGGAACCACTTCAGGACCAATGTTCTTACCGAAGGACAGACTACCATACGGAATGCCAAGCAGAGCAAGGCCCGTGCTGCACCCTAGCACTCTCTTCGGTAATCCTCCGGTGCTTCAGACCACTGTCGAAGCAGAGCTTCTGGCTCAAATGATTTCCCTTCGGAAGGAAATGGCCAAGCTCCAAGAACATAACAACCTCCTCTCGTCCAAAGTAGACGAAACTCAGCGGCTGCTTAATCAGTAGGAAACACAGAATATTCAGTATACAGAACCTTCTCAGAGTCTGCAGACCCCCAGTCGGCAGAAGAAAGGGAAGAAGGGGGCAAAGGCAACGCCTGCGCCTTCCAAACAGCTGGTAGTCCCGGCCCCACGGGACCAGCCTCACGTACCCAAGAAGGTCTACACCGACTGTCACCAACGGATCAACGACAAGGATGCCGAACGGCAGAGGTCCCCAATCAGGATCAATGCTCGCCTACGGGACTCACGGATGAGAGTCCTTGGAGACAAATCACCCCCTCAGGAAAGTCCGAGGGTTGGAATCAGAAGTAGAATCTGACGACGAGTATGCCCCGTCCAAGGGCACCGAATCAAACTACCGTTTAGAAACTCCCATGGAGTATTCGAAGGCGAGGCCACCAAGTCTGAGGAGAACTTCCAAAGACTTCAATTTCGAGAAGGTCCCAAGCTGAGACCCCGCTATCCGTCTGCTCTTCTAGAGAGTTTAGAAGATGGAAGACGACAGAACCCAGTCCCAGGAGCCTGACTGGGGGAAACTTCGGCCGGGACCCTTTACCGAGTGCATCAAGAAGTCCAGATCGGACAGGGAGGTACAGCCATTGCGTATACCGTTTTACACCGGCGTGGAAGACCCTTTGACACACCTTCACTCCTTCCAATCGGCGGTCGGATGTAAGGGCCTCAGCGATGAGGGGCAATGCCTGTTATTCCCATCTTCCCTTACCGGAGATGCTTTGAATTGGCTCTACCGTCTTGAACTAGGAACAGTAGACTAGTTTGACGAGCTGAAGCAGATTTTTCTGAATCATTTCATGATCCAGACGGACCGTCTGTACTCTGCCGACGATCTGTACACGGTCCGGCAGGGAGAACACGAACCTCTAAGGGAATACGCTGCGCGTTTCAGTCATGAATACTTAAGATGTCCAGAAACGGACGATAGGGCAGCCTACTGCGCCTTCAAGAGTGGCCTTCGATCCTCACACTTTCGGTACCTTGTGCACAGTAGCAACTGGCGCACGTATGACGAACTGATGAAGCATGCGGCAGTCCACGCCAAGGCTGAATATTTCAACTCCAAGCCCGGACCTTCGGCTCGGCAGGAGGAATCGGCACCCAAGAGGTATCATGGGCGGACTGACGACTCTTCGGCAGGGCACAAGTGAAAGGACAACCATGATAACCGGCAGGGTGACTCAAAGAAAGGGCGTGGGAAATATGGTCGCAATGACCATCGAGCGCCAATGCCGAATCAAGACCGGAATCAGGAAGTCTTCATCTTGTTGAACACAACATATGAGGCCGTACTGATGAACGAGCACGAAAGAATCCCAAAACCCAACAACCAGAAGCCCAATTGGCAGGACAATCAGGATACCAGCAAATTCTGCCGATACCACCAGCAGAACAGCCACAACACCGAAGAATTTCAAGTCCCCTTCCGAGAACTCTCGAAAGAGAACTTGGGGGACTCCTATTTATACCCAAATGAACAGCCAATAAGCATCGGACACGTGGACCAATTTATAGCTATGGGAGCCTTCGGCACCTGGCTACAGTCCGTTCCTACCGATCACAAGATTAGGGCAACCCCACCGCAATGGGCACGTGGCAGTCCCACAATTGGAGTCCACAGTCTCACATCGAAATTCTAAACAATATGCACACCTCCCAAGGCTTATAAAAGAGGACAACTATCCCAACAAGGGGGTAATCAATCAGAACTTATGGCATACTGCCTATTGATCTGTAGTTCAATCTTACTAAATCCGTACTTACTTAAGCATCGGAGAGCCTTCGGCCGGTACCACACCGGTGCCCTAGGTCTTACCGAGAGTTTGTTGTCTTGCAGATCAAACGCCCTACCGAGACCAATAGCATACCGAAGGCATAACATCACTAAGTTGTGCGGGAAAGTACCGAACCATTTTTCTGCGTCAACAGCTATGAAGACTGAAGAGGTTTTTCTGGCAGAAGATTTCCTACCACCATGGATAGCAGCAGTGAGCCAGTGACCATCAGCTGTGAAAATGGTGAGGAAACTTACCCTAGCTGCAATGGTTTATCCTATACCAGGCAATTTTATTTGGATGGTTCAGATCTTTTTTGAATACCGAGAACTGCATACTTTCTAAAGGCAGAAAAACAGCTACGCTTTAATTCCTGTAGAAATTGTTCATCATCAACCTCTAACATGATTCAACTCCGCAATTTGAAGACCTTTAGATTGGTTCACTCAATATTTTCTTGTACATTTGCTTCCAAAACAAACAGAGCTTTGGTTGGAGATCCGAAACCCTCACATTTTTCTCTTCAGAGTCAGTTGCTCTGCAGACACATCACCTCAGAAATCTCAGAAAACCAACACAATTTCACAGTCACTTACCTCATAAACACTTGTGGATAGTCCCCAGAATGAGCGGTTTTAGCTTCTAAATGGGTCGAGTTGCAGTCACCAGAAAGAGCAGACTCCGTTTTAGAGCTTCTGAGAAACTATGGAGCATCTCAAACCCAGATATCAAAGCTTATTAGGTCACATCCAAAACTTATTTCAACTGATCCTGAGAAAAACCTTTTGCCAAAGCTTGAGTTTTTCAGCTTTCTTGAAATTTCAAAAGTGGACCTATTAAAAAAACTGGCTTTTAATCAAAAACTTTTGGCAGTCAGCTTGAGAAATCGAATTTTGCCCACTTATAACTTCCTCAGGAGTATGCTCTCTGAGAAAAATGTTGGTGTTGTTTTCAAGCTCAACTCATGGATTTTCTTGGAAGGTCACTGCAAGCATGTGGTGCCAAATATTGGGCTTTTGAGAGAATCGGCCATGCCTCAACCATGCATTGCTTTTTTGCTGACTCGTGGTACTCGCGTTTTGATGGTAAATCCTGAAAAATGTGGTCAACTTGTGAGTGATGTTAAGCAAATGGGATTTAATCTGGAAAAATCAACTTCAGTGAATGCTCTGTGTGCATTGTGTGGTAAGAATAAGTTGGTATTGAATAGAAGTCGCGAAGTTCTTAAGACATGGGGTTGGTCTGAGGATGATTTTCCCTCCGCTTTCAGGAAGTACCCACAGTGTATGGTTGTCTCGGAGAAGAAACTTATGCAAGTAGTGGTTCTATTTGTGAACAAGATGGGATGGTCGTCAGGAATGATTGCCAAATATCCTGTGGCTCTCGGTCTCAGTTTGGAGAGGAGACTTATCCCAAGGTGCTCTGTTGTTGAAAGGTTTCATAAACGAGAACTTGAATCTGGGTTCTCTGCTGAAACCTACAGAGAAGCAGTTCTTGGAGATTTTTGTGAACAGATATCTTGGCCAAGGACCTGAATTGTCAAGTGTGTATCAAGGGAAGGTAGATATCCAGGATGTCTGATTTGATATGTTGAAACAGGAGGATGTAATTATTTTAGCCACCTGATGCTGCATCACTCATATGCATTAGCTTGCTTTTGGCACAATACTATGATGCTGTCCAAAATTATTTGAATTAGTTTCAGTCCAAAATTCACAATTTATTAGCTGTTAAAGTTTTTCAGGATATTTCCTCACCGTTGGGGACTAAATTCTAAGGAAAATTGATGACATTAAAAGCTGAAAGTAAAAGTCAAACTTGCTTGAGAATCACGGCTATTTGTTATATGATCATCAGTTTTTTTCTACTACCAGAGTATTTGGATATTTATGGTACCAACATTGGAAGAATTTGGGAATTATTACTCGCTTCAGTCCAATTGTTGCAAAAGGAACGATCAGGAGACATTCAGGAGTATTGATGAGCAGGTGCCAAAAATGATCAATGCATTGGAATGACAAAACTTTTGCCACTTGTGCATTAAATGGGGGTTAGTCCAAAATAAATAAATAAAATCCAGATTTCCTCATCATCATTTTTCTCCTATAAATACAAGAATGCATGGACTGTAGAGGGGACCCAACCAACCAACTAATCAAACAAAAACTCCACAATTAGTCCAGACTGATCAAAAGAAATCAAATATCACATGATCTTGTAATTATCAAAGGCAAGCAATCTTCTGTAGGAAGCAACCCAACTCAAACAAAAACTTAGACAACCAAAAAGAAGATGAGATTCTTTTTGCAATATAGACAAGGTATTTCAATTAGAACCTTTAAAAGATTGAATTCTCTTACAAATTTGGTTTAGCAAATCAGATAACACAAGTAGAAGTCGAGACTTCCATCATATTAAAACCTCAACAAGTTTATAAAGATACCTTTGTCTTAAAATTGTCTAGAAAGCTTCCACATCATACAAAACCAACTAGAACAAGTACTTGCCTGCAGTTTCGCTCACTTTTCCAGCCTACATATTGGCTCAACTTGTTTATAGCTATGCCAATACCAACATTGGTATTGATTTTCAACTAATCTTTATTAGTTGAAGGTATTGACGTGCAATTCCAATGCAGAAACATCCAATACAACTTGACCTTAAAACATCATTTTGATTGTATTTTTAAGCAGAACTCAAAGTGCAACAATTTGAGGCTTGTCTAGATTTAGCAATTCATTTTATGCTTTGTGCTTAAGGTAGTTCTGCTTGGATTAGTCTGTTATATTCTCCATAAATTCGTATATTTTGCTTTACTTACCATTTTTATCTAGATAAATTGTGAAGTCCTCACCAGTCTGAGGCATAGAAAAGAACTCTCTTGGGAGGTTTCCCTACCCAAAATCACAATCGTTTGTTTAAAGTCTATTACTTGGGGCTCAAGTATATAAAGTCATTCAAATTTTTTAGGGTATTATTTGCTAACAATGACACGCTCACATAAAAGAAAGTTAATCCAGAAACCATTAAATGGATAAAAGATTAATGAAGCATTTTACTCAGTCTTCAACAGACTCAAATAGAAAAAGGATAAACAGGTGTTTAATGTACAAAAATCGAAAAATAAAATCTGGCAGGTATACTATACATTTAAGAGTTTTTATTTTATTTTTTATCCGGATACATTTCAGAGTTATTTACACTAAAACTTGTGCTTTTACTAAACCCTTTGTAGTTCTAGAAATTACACAAGAGTGCTGCTATTTCCACCCACCTTATCGTCCCACCCATATGTAAATTTGAAAAATCACAAACCTATCTTTCTACCCACCATTATTCTTAAAATACCTTTTAATTGTATTTCCATATTTGCTATTACAAAAAATAAAAAATAAAAAATAATAAAAAAATTGTATTCCATCCCTTTGCCCCAAGTCACCCTCCACCCCCAACCCCTTCCTCCGATGAAAACCCAACAACCAACACCATGACCATCACACCGACAACCACTTTTCCTCCCATCCGCAGCCACCCCCACCTCCCACCCCCGCCACCAATTTGATTTTCCCATCCCACCACCCCACTCCGCCTTTGTTGCTTATCATAGCCATCATATTCATTGTGCCTTTGCACTGGGTTGTTGGGCACAACCCCAACTTTATGGCCTTCTTTCATTTTATGCATTTGACATGGTTAATATTATACACTGCGAATTCAGTAGTGGTGTGTTTCAACTCATTTGTGCCAAATTTCATTGTGGGAAACTTCGTCATCCGCAAATCTCACGGCATGGTGCTCCGGGCCGAGGGGATGTGCGTTAACACGTGACGTCCTTCTTTTGGATGCGGTGTGGTTGTGCGCGGGCATGCCAGCACGGTCTACCGTGCGTCGAGATGGTGATGAGGTTTGGATCGAAGATGGTTTAAATGATGCGCCTGTTTCAAGTTCGACTCCTGATCAAACGATTGTGGCCGAGAGAGGAACTGACCTCGGCTGTCAAGTTCACGGCCTGAGCTACAAGGCCGTTTAATGGTGGTGTTGGTGGCGGGTTTTAGGCGGTGCTCCGACGCGTTGCTCAGAGAGCGACGGTCGTATGATACATGGGGTGAATGAGATGACAACAGAGATGGTGCTCCGACGCCTTGAAAATCAAGGGTCGTATGATATATTGATGAATGGATTTTCCTTACAATCTACCACTACTCCTAGGAAAGTAAATAAAAGTATTGAAAGTGCATTACAGGAAAATATAATTTGCTCAGTGGGAGGCCTTTGGTTTGGTGTTTGAACCCCTTGAATGTAATCTTGAGCTTAGTATTTATAGAGGGAGTCCTGGAGGGATAATCGGGGCTGAAAAGATCTGCGTGGTGTAGCCTGATCGGGGCAAGTGGGTAGTCAAATCGGCATTTGGGATCATGAAGCATAGTGGTGTGACCCCCATAGATCCGGGTAAATCTCGGCCACCACCCTGATCGTGGGTTCTGCCCCATTGGCTGTGGCAATGCATTTAATGCCATTGTCTGGTGGTCGGTGATCTGACCTCAAGTTGTAAGCATACTTGTGAGAATGTTCGTGCCTAACCACTCTGATATCTATTACCAAATCCTGACTTCAGTCACTTCCCCTCTTCCCTCGTCATTAAATGCTTCTTGAGACTAGTGGGCTTACTGCTATAGTCAGAGGCATTACTTTATTAAATGGGGCGTGGGACCCTGAGGCCACGTGGCGATTTAACCGCAGTATCTTCGGCCATGTCTTTTATGGCCCTCGGTTTTGGCCCATAATACCGTGGTCGCGAGGCCGAGAGGATTCTGCCTTCGCAGCTTTTCTCTTGTTTTCAGGAGGGCAAAATGCCTAACGAAACGTGGCCGTTTCGGTTCATGAGTAGGTGCTAGGGTCGAGAGGAGGTCCCTTTGGTCAGTTTATGACCGTGATTTATTAGGCACAAACATTGCCCCCACATCCCTGGATTCTTCGGTCGCGGCCTGAGCAGAGGCCGAATGGATTTCAAGGGATGGACCCTTTGTATTCATCCTGAAGTGATTGACAGCTGGCGTCTTAAATGCCTACGCATTTATTGCGCACGTCTCGTAGGCCATCATTGCCCAGACTTGCGCGAGCCGTTGTTTCGTTTCGTTAAATGGGCTGGGCTGCCGTAAATGACAGATTGATGAAACTGTCCCATTTGTCTGAGTTCGAAAATCAAGCCCCGAAATGTTTTGAAAAGGCAGTAGAGCCTTAGGAAACATCTTGGTTTTCTTCACCAACCAAAGCAACAGCAACTTATAGATAAATTCTTGACTTGGCATAAGAAGCTTGTGGCATGGGAGCAAAATTGTCATGAGTTTAGCACTGAAGAGAAAACTAAGTGTTCCTAGGGGAAAGATGGGGTATTAAGGTTGGAGAGAAAGGATTTTGCAGAGAGGTTTGGTTGAGCATGAGGAAGAAGAGAGAAAAAGGTAGCTTAAGTGTTTTTCCGGCAACTTGACAGAGACTCTGTCCAGTGTCAGAACAACTTGCAAATAGGGAAAACTAAGGGAAAATGATGAGTTGAGCACGAAATTTTTGGGAGTAAGAGAGGAAGCTTGCTCTCTGATGTAGTTGATGCTTGTTGGGTGGAAGAGGCCCCTTTTATAGTCGATGGAAGTTGACATTTTCCAAGAAACCCTAATGGTTTCTATCCAATTTGGCCAAGTCTTTCCCTTCCTTTCTCCCCTCATCCTTTCAATCATCCTATTTTGAAACTTGTTCTTCCCATGTGCTAGAGCTTTGCAACAGCTTTTCAGACTTTCCTTCGTGGCTTCTGTTTTCCAACAAAGTGCTGATGGTTTTGCAGGTCTTTATTTTATTTATGTGGGCCTTCTAGAGCAATGGATTGACTTATCAAATAAATGGGCTAACTTCACCAAGGTTTGGCTTGAGGTGTTGGGCTTTTTGGTTGAGTCAATAGGCTATTTTGGTTGGGCTATTTTTATTTGGAGTGATGAGATATTCTTTTCTCTCTTGTGCTTACCCACATGTTTGGGCCTATGAAATGGGCTTGAGTCCCGAGGCTCTCAAGCAACCTGGGACTTCCATTTCTCGGCCCATCAATGGACCTCATGACAATTTATTACCATCCATACCGCAACCCACTTAAGCAAGCCCCGGGCATCTTGCGTGGCTTGGGCCCACTTAAGCTTGTAGAGTGGCATGATGCTTATTTTTTTAGCGTGATATGTGTGCAAAGCGTATATGACGAATTTTCGCGTGCCTAAATCGGGTTTCTTCTAAATTCGATATCGCATTGGGCCGATAATTTATTTGGGCCGAAGTGTGGATATTTTGGGCCTCAACATTTTGCCCCCTTGATTATTGGGGCCATGAATGTGTATTGAAATGGTCCAAATAATCAATTTCCAGCCCGAAATACATTGCAGTGGCATGGCATGGCATGACATGGGTTTAGGAGCAATTTAAGGATAACCAATTAAGGGTCACTAAAATTACAGCCAGGTCTTTTCCGGGAAGGTTGGAGGGGTCACAATGGTCCCGC